TCAAAAATTCATCACTGAAAGCCTGAGGAACTTTCAAATGGCTTCAGAGAAGCAAGGTATATATTGCTGAAAACAAGGTGTTGAGAAAATGAAACAAAAGCAAGTGAAGAGAAACGGCTGATGCTTTTCCCATCCGTTTTCCATCTATCTCCGAAGATAGCGACAAAGTGTAGGAGGATGGATTGCCTCAGCAGTGGCTTATAGAAAACATAACAAAACAAATCTTCAGATAATACAGATATGAAATGAAGTGAAGCATAATAAAGAAAACAGGGAAGCCAATGTTTAATGTAGAAGGGCTATATATCTTGACCTGTTCTCTTCTCCTAGTTGCTTCTCCTCTCAATGACATGAATGCTTCTAAATCTAAATCAAGTGTTATCATCACTGTAAGTGAAAAAGGGAATTGCTCTTGCATTATTTGTTGCCCTCGAAGACCATTTGTTAGGTGAGGGAATAATGAACCTATGCTATTGAGATGTAGTTCGGGAAGATACTTCCTGCACTCTCAGGTACCAGAAATGAAAGTCTTACAGTAAGCCTTGGCTGTGAACTTGGTTGGGAGACTGGCAGATACCCAAGGATCCCAGGTGGATCAGGGCTGGATTAACCATAAAATAAGCATGTGCTTAGGGCATCAAAGGGAGAAGGGCACCATAGAAATTTGCAATTGACAGTTTTACCATGGATCGTATGATGCAAAATTGCAAATGGTGCAGCTGAACCAGGTTCCACAAAAGGGGGCTCCCATAATAAAATGTTTTTTTCAAATAATAAGGTAGAAGTATACAAAAGTAATCAATATTTTTCATATTAATACAAGTTTTGTAACATTTCAAAAATATTTTAGAGATTATTATTATTATTATTATTATTATTGGCACTGAAATCTTTACATGCTTAGGGCCTCTAAAGGTTTAAGCTGCCTTTCTATGGATATAGGAGATTGTGCCATCAGCCGCTTCAGATCTTGCTGTTTTGTTGTGAGCAGTTGTTCAAGCAAATATTACTCAGCACATGATGTATAGCAAATTAAAAAGGGACCGTGCGTGTACAGAATGGGAAGCCTGCCTATTCATATGCATCAATAGCTCCTTCTATGAACCATCTTGGAGGTTTAGATCCTCTGGGGAGGCCTTGCTCTCGGTCCCGCCTCCTTCACAGGTGTGGTTGGTGGGGACAAGAGACAAGGCCTTCTCAGTGGTGACTCCTCAGCTGTGGAACTCCCTCCCCAATTATATTCAATCTGCTCCTTCCCTCCTAGCCTTCAGAAAGTTAAAACTATGGGACCAAGCTTTCAGAGAGTAACTGCAATGCGATAAATGAATGTAGAATTGGTGCAATGACAGTCAGGAATGGCTCTGGACTATGACCTTGGATGACATGTTTTTAGTCATTGATGTAATTGTTTAATGTTTTAATTCTGTGTTTTTAATATAAATGTTTATTTAATTGTATGTTTTCATGGCATTGAATTGTTGTTGAGGCTGCTCGGAGAAGGGCATGATACAAATGTTGTAAATAAATAAATAAACAGTGGTTTGTTGTGATATTGAATGTTAAACCACGGGAGGAACTGGCTGATAGATGCATCAGTCTTTTGAGGTGTAACAAAGAGTTATAGTGTTGTTTGGACAATATGATAAAGGCAAAGTTCAGAAACATTCCTTTTTGGAATGACAGATTCACCTCTCTGGAGGTTTATAGAAGTTGTAGCCCCTCAAAGTAACTGCTCCAAACCTTGGGTGAACCAGAGGTTGGTCTCTATCATTTGACAGACTGAGGCAGGTGCTTCATGTTGTTCATTCGTTCAGTCGTCTCCGACTCTTCGTGACCTCATGGACCAGCCCACGCCAGAGCTCCCTGTCGGCCGTTACCACCCCCAGCTCCCTCAAGGTCAGTCCAGTCACTTCAAGGATGCCATCCATCCATCTTGCCCTTGGTCGGCTTCATATACATAGCTTATTCTGGATGTCATGAAAGAGAAATGAATTACTGATGATTTATTATAGTGTATTTTTCCTATCTCTTGTCTTGAAACAAGTCAGGTGTCTGGGTTAGTTGCTGCACATGAGTTGCATCCAATCTTTTTTTCTTGAAATATACTGGGTTTTCTCCCTTGTATTCTTCCATGGGTCATGTGTCACATCCAATCTCATGCAGCTTTTTGGAAATTGATTTTCACCTATTTCCACGGAGCCTGCTTTATTATTCAGGAATTTTCATCAAAGTGCAAATGATAATCCCACACTCCCCCTCCCTTTTTTTGGCAACATTAAGGGGTGTTCTACTTGGTTTGACTCCTTCCACTAACACTTCAAGATGGGATGGTTTTCTTTCCAAAAAGCAATGCTATGGAAAAACCCATAACCCACCTGTTATGCCAGCTCTACTGGTTGCCAGTCTGCTTCCGAGCACAATTCAAAGTGCTGCCTTTAGCATACACATACTTAAACAGTTCCGGCCCAGCTTACCTGTCTGAACGTATTTCCCTCTATGAACCATCTTGGAGATTAAGATCATCTGGGGAGGCCCTTCTCTCAGTTCTACCTCTTTCGCATGTGTGAGTGGAGGGGACTAGAGACAGGGCTTTCTCAGTGGTGGCCCCTCTACTATGGAACTTCCTCCCCAGTGAGATCAGATCAACCGCTTCTATTCTGACCTTCAGGGAAAAAAAACTTAAGACGTGGCTTTGGGACCAAGTTTTTGACAAGTAATTGGAGCAGTGCAATAAGTAACAATGAAATGATATGATTGACAAATGGAATGGCCCTGGGTTATGTTTTTGAATGGCATGGTTTTAATCGTTGATTTTAATCATTCTGGTTTTAATTGTAATTGTTTATTTGATATATATGTGTATGGTATCAAATTGCTGCCTGTTTTAAGGTCTCTTTGAATCCCTCTGGGGTAAGAAAGGCAAGATATAAATATGCGTAATAAATAAATAAATAAATAAATAAATAAAAGCACAAGAGAAGGGAAGCCGTTCACTCAGGCCCTGCCCACACAGCCATATAACCTGGAATATCAAGGCAGAAAATCCCACAATATCTGCTTTGAACTGGGTTACCTGAGTCCACACTGCCATATATTTCAGTTCAAAGCAGAAAATGTGGGATTTTATTTAACTGTGTGGAAGGGCCATTACATAGAATAATTCAAGTGCACAGGGATCCTATGTATCAGTGGTTCCCAACCTTTGGTTCTCCAAGTGTTTTGCACATCCATCCCAGAGTTCCAAGATGTTAAGGGTTTCTGGAAGTTGATGTCCCAAACAATAAAGGTTGGGAACCAGATTTGCACAGTTGTGCCAGAATGCACAAGTGCTCACTAAGGGTTAAACAAAACACCATTAAATTCAGCAAGACTTGTTTGATGGATTCCAAGGAAGTGCTCTGCATAAAGTGATCAGACCTTTGGAGAGTTGGGTGGGATTGGGGGAGAGAGAAACTTGTACCAAACAAATGGCTTCTTCCAATCCTCTCCAGCAGTATAAGAAACAGGACACTTTTTTCACACTATAAATTATAGCGCTATTATTCCACCTCAATTCTCACAACTGTAACCACTGGAATCCTATAGCTTGTGGCTTCAGGAGGCTTAAGCAGCTGAGGAGGAAAAGCAAGGGTCCTGAGCCTGTTAGGAATTGTGGGAGCTGAAGTCCAAAACACCTGGAGGGTCAAAGTTTGCTCATGCCTGGTCTACAGGCAATGGGACTTGAACTCTGGATTTGTCCTTTGGTGATGCACCAGTTTGGAAGGAAAAGCTAAAGACCTTGCCATGCTACAGTTCCCAAGATCCCATAGCACTGATCCATGGCAGTTAAAGTGATGACTATGTTAAGCTGAGAATTGTTTGAAAGAGGAGAGTTGTGTCCAACTCCATTTATTACTGCCTCATCATACTAGCAACAAAAATCCACATAGTTAAAGCAATGGTATTCCCTGTAGTGACCTATGGATGTGAGAGTTGGACTATAAGGAAGGATGAGCAAAGGAAGATAGATGTTTTTGAACGGTGTTGTTGGAGGAAAATTCTGCGAGTGCCTTGGACCGCGAGAAGATCCAACTAGTCCATTCATCAGGAAATAAAGCCCGACTGCTCATTGGAGGGAAGGATATTACAGGCAAAGATGAAGTACTTTGGCCACATCATGAGAAGACAGGAAAGCTTAGAGAAGACAATGATGCTGGGGAAAATGGAAGGAAATAGGAAGAGAAGCCAACCAAGGGCAAGAGGGATGGATGGTATCCTTGAAGTGACTGCCTTGATTCTGAAGGAGGGGGTGGTGACAGCCAACAGGGAGCTCTGGCATGGGCTGGTCCATGAGGTCATGAAGAGTTGGAAGCAACTGAACGAATAAACAACAACATCACACTAGAGAAAGGTAAAGGTAAAGATTTTCGCCTGACATTAAGTCCAGTCGTGTCCAGCCGGCGTTGTCTGTAGACACCTCCAAGGTCATGTGGCTGGCATGACTGCATGGAGTGCTGTTACCTTCCCGCCAGAGCGGTACCTATTGATCTACTCACATTTGCATGTATTCGAACTGCTAGGTTGGCAGAAGCTGGGGCTGAAAGCGGGAGCTCACGCCGCACCCTGGATTCGAACCTGAGACCTTTCAGTCATCAAGTTTAGCAGCTCAGCGGTTTAACCCACTGCGCCACCCCACCGGGGGCTTCTTACACTAGAGAAAAGATCCACTAAAAATCCAGTTTCTGCCTCCTGCAGAACAGCCTCACTGAACTACAAACTCCAGGATTCTGCATAAACTGGATTTTAAGTGGATTTTTTCTCTAGTGTGATGAAGTAGTTCTAAAACTGCGTTGTATGTGAAAACACAGAAGTGGAAGCGTTTTTGGATTGCAAGTCCAAAGCACACCCCCAAATATTATTTTCGGAAAGTGGTGGGTCTTGTTTTCCCCACATCCCCCGCCCCCTATCTCCTCCATGAAGGTCCCACGCCTCCCGAAGAAGACTCCTGCGGGGCGCCAAAGCTCCCCACGTCAGCGACATTGGCTCGTTTCCCTTCCACGGAGGGAAGAGAGGAAGAGGAAGAGCTTTTGGATTTCGCAGCGGCCGCACCGGGCGACCAAGAGCATCCTTCTTCTCCGGAGGCTCCCGGCTCGTCTCCCCGGGAGCATCGCGGATTGGGCGACCAAGGAGGGGCAGCCCCCACTCCCTGCGAGGAAGGGGGAATCTCCTCCTCCTCCTTTCCTCGCGTGGGAGCCGCAGCAGCAGCAGCAGTTCCAGCATCCCGTCCAGGCGCCTCGGAAGGGAGGCGGTGCGCCTGGAAGCGGAGAGCGCCTTTCTCCTTCTCAAGGAGGGACGGGGGCTGGTCCTTCCCCCCTTCCTCCCCCTTGGTCTCCCTTGGCAGCCTTCTCCGTGGGTCTCTCCCCTTCCTCGCCCTCTTTCCGTGTCCTCTCCCTGAAGGTTGGTGGCGGGGAAAGACTGCTGCTTGCCTCGGCTTTTCCGGAGCTTGGAAAGGAGACCTCCAACTGGCATCCCCAGTCTTGGGCAGCTCTGCGGGGGAAGCAACTGACGAAGGAGCGGAAAGGCCACCATGGGGCTTCTGGAGGAGCAGAGCTTCAGGTAAGGGTGGCCTTCAAAGATGCTGGGAGGATGAATTGGCGCCTTGGAGCCCTTACCAAGTTGGGAAGGCTCAACTTTAGAGCTTGGGTCCCCCTTGGCTCGGGGTTGCCTTTCCCAAAAAGTTCTGGGATGCGATTCCATAAGGCTGCTTCTTCTTCATCCTTTCTCTCTCTTCATGTTTACTATAAGGAAGAGCTACTATGGAGAGGTTGAAGATCCTTTATCCGAAAGGGATACTCCAGATTTTGGGGCGATTTGTTGCCATATACTATTCGTGGATTGATTTACTTGTTTTTATTTTTAGCCCTACCTTTCTCCCAATATAAGGACTCAAGGCAGCTAATAAGAAATATAAAACAATGTAATGTATTGCCTGTAAGGCATCTATGTAAATGGGGCCCCAGAACTGCTGACCGAAAGGTCAGTGGTTCAAATCCAGGCAGCAGGATGAGCTCCCTTCTGTCAGTTCCAGCTTCTTATGTGTGGACATGAGAGAAACCTCCCACAGAATGGTAAACATGAAACATGCTGATGAAAAGGACGGTGGTTCAAATCCAGGGAGCGTGGTGAGCTCCCATCTGTCAGCTCCAGCTCCCCATGCAGGGACATGAGAGAAGCCTCTCACAGGATGGTAAACATGAAACATGCTGACCAAAAGGTCAGTGGTTCAAATCTGGACAGTCGGGTGAGCTCCCATATGTCAGCTCCAGCTCCCCAAGCGGGGACATGAGAGAAGCCTCCCACAGGATGGCAACATATCTGGGTGTCCCCTGGACAATGTCCTTGTTGATGGTGATTTTTTCCACACCAGAAGCGACTTGCAGTTTCTCAAGTCGCTCCTGACACACACACACACAAATCTGTGTAAATGTATTACAATTACATGGGTGTCATGCGGGTTGAGTATCCCTTGTCCAAAAGGCTTGGGACCGTATACTTTATTTTTAATCCTGCCTAAACACCTAACAAGAAATATGACACAATACACATTCAAACAATGACAATGTATTACCTGTATGATACCCATGTATGACAATGACATGGGTGTCACACAGGGTTCATTATCAGAAAGGCTTTGGAGCAACTTTGGGGGAAATTATCCTATACATGTATTTATTACTTGATTTATTGACTTTATTTTTCAATCTCATCTTTCTCCCTATGTAGGGATGCAAGGCAGCTCACAAGAAATATGACACAATACAAATCCAAACCATGTAAATCCTATAATATTTACATGGATGTTATATAGGTGGAGTATTTCTTAACTTGAAAGGCTAGGCAGCAGATTTCTGATTTCGGGGGAAAGTTGCCATGTTCATGTAGTTATTTGCTTGTAGTTGTAGTTGTTTACAGACTTTATTTTTAATCTGACCTTTCTCACTAAACAGCTAACAAGAAATATGACACAATACACATTCAAACAATGTAAGCATATTACACCCATATATGACAATGCCATGGGTGTCATACAGGTTGAGTATCCTTTATCAGAAAGGCTTGGGCCAAATTGGGGGGGAAATTACCCTATACATATATTTATTGATTTACTTATTGACTTTATTTTTCAATCCCATCTTTCTACCTATGTACAGGGACTCAAGGCAACTCATAATATAAATCAAAACAATGTAAATCCTATTACATTTGCATGGGTGTTATATAGCTGGAGTCTTCCTTAATCTGAAAGGTTAGGGAGCAGATTTCAGATTTGGGGGAAAAGTTGCCATATCCATGTAGTTATTATTTGTTCATAGTTGTAGTTATTTGCAGACTTTATTTTTAATCCTACCTTTCTCTCAATATAGGACTCAAGGTAACTAACCACAATATAGTAGACTTTCAATTAACTGGAACCCATGGGGATTGGTAGATGCCAGATAAATGTAGTTTCCGGTTGCTTGAGAGTTACTATTAAAATGAGGCCTAACTAATACTGTACCATAAACTCTGTATTGATTTGATTTTAATATTGAAATACAGCAATTAAAAGCAAATCAGGCAAATAATGACAAGTAACTTCACAGTTAAATTGCATGTATTGTAGTTTTTATTTAAAGTACTATTTTTTCAAATTTTGCTAGTTCTTTGAGAGTTCCAGTTGCTTGAGTTACATTTAACAGAGAGTCTACTGTACATGTATTTATTTACTTACTGACGGACCATATTTTTAATTCTTTCCACTTTGTCCTGATATAGGGACTCAAAGCAGCTAACAATGAATATGGCACAATGCAGGGTTGCTGTGAGTTTTCCAGGCTGTATGGCCATGTTCCAGAAGCATTCTCTCCTGATGTTTCACCCACATCTATGGCAGGCACCTTCAGAGGTTGTGAGGCAGTCTGCCATAGATGTGGGTGAAATGTCAGGAGAGAATGCTTCTGGAAAATGGCCAATACAGCCTGGAAAACTCACAAGCAACCCAGTGATTCTGGCCATGAAAGCCTTCGACAACACATTGACATAAAGCATATTAAAACAATGTAATGCATTAAAATATTAATATAAACATTTTAAAAAGTCAATCTCTTTGTGTCATTCAATTGTTCAACATAAAAAAATATTAAAATACATTACATGAGAGATGTATAGGATAACTTGAAATTCATTGATAGGAAACTATGTGCCTTATATACATAGCCTGAAGGGACAGTATTTTGCAATAACTTTGTCCATCAAACAAAGTTTGTGTACATTGTCAGGTGTCCCTATCTCAGCCATCTTTGTGGATGATTTGGGAACATTTTCAGTTTCTCCATAAACGATGCTCTACCCGTTTCTCTATTAATTATGGAGAATGATTCTGATTAAAGATCAGCTTTCTATCTTTACAAACGTCTTGGTTGAAAAATGACTTGGTGTGATTCTACGCAGCATAAACATTTCCGTATACAGACCTGCAGGGGAAAAATATTCCCCCCTTTCTTTTTGCACTGTGTTGTCTTGGAGCTTGTCGTTTCATTCTATAAATTGCATTAGCTCAGTTTAACATCTGTCTTGTAAGTGTGGTACCAATGCAAGCATTTTTGTCTTAAGGAGGTTTTCTGTGAGACGTTGTTGCCCTCTAGTGTTTTGCGACATGGAAGGGTGTTCTGTGGATGTAGGAGTTAAATAAAATTAATTAGAGGGCAGCTAATATTGTCACAGAGATTGTGGATACCTTTTTAAAACAAAAATTGTGAATCAGCTAAAGAGTATGGACATACATGCGTCCAGTCTTAAAACTTTGACTATTGTGTTCGACTTTTTAATTTTCAAAATAAGCCTTTACTCAGAAGAGTGGTTCTCAACCTTCCTCATGCCATGACCCCTTAATACAGTTTTTCATGTTGTGGTGACCCCCAACCATAAAATTATTTTCCTTGCTACCTCATAACTGTAATTTTGCTAATGTTATGAATCATCATGTAAATATCTGATATGCTAGATGTATTTTCATTCACTGGACTAAATTTGGCACAAATACCCGATGTGTCCAAATGTGAATACTGGTGGGGTTGGGGGAGTTGATTTTGTAATTTTGTAGTTGCTGGGATTTATACTTCACCTAAAACCAAAGACCATTCTGAACTCCACCAATGATGGAATTGAACCAAACTTGGCACACAGAACTCCCATGACCAACAGAAAATACTGGAAGGGTTTAGTGGGCATTGACCTTGAGTTTTGGAGTTATAGTTCACCTACATCCAGAGAGCACCGTGGACTCAAACAATGATGGATCTGGACCAAACTTGGCATGGATCTGGACCAAACTTCCCACACAGAACCCCCATGACCAACCGAAAGTGAGGTTTATTTATCTGTCAAATGTCCATTTATATGCTGGTGAGGTTTATATATGTGTGGAATGTCCAGGGTGGGAGAAAGAACTCTTGTCTGCTTGAGGTGTGAATGTTGCAATTAGCCATCTTGATTAGCATTGAATGGTCTTGCAGCTTCAAAGCCTGGCTGTTTCCTCTCTGGGGGGATCCTTTATTAGGAGGTGTTAACTGGTATATAAATATACCAGATATATAAACCTCACTTGCTTAGTTTCCAACAGACCCCTCAACCTTTGAGGATGTCTGCCATAGATGAGGGCAAAATGTCAAGAGAGAATGCTTCTGGAACATGGCCTTACAGCCTGGAAAACTCACAGCAACCCAATGATTCTGCCCATGAAAGACTTTGACAACAGAGTTTTGTATAGCTAGGAAAGAACTATGTCAAAGTTGGAACTCTAATTTTAAGATAGTACCTTAGGGGAAATTCACTTTGAAAATAATGCTTTAAAAGAATAGAATGCAAAAGAGGTTTGAGGAATAAATAATACCATATTCTAAACTATCAATCCACAACTCAGTGGAGTGCTAAAGACATTTCAATGTGCATCCCTGAGTATCTTTGCTTCCAAATGAGTGAATGGCATGCATATAATGGATCTCAATAGTGTGCATGGGACAGTGCTGTTCATTGCAATGAATTAAATTTGGCCAGAGCCCATGCTTGCTGAGACAGAATGGAAATGCATATGATAGAGAGGTAAAATGTAAAGGCAGCCCTCTGCTTCCATGGGTTCAACCAAAAAATACAAAAGGCAAATCTGATTTTGTCATTATATATAAGGGATTCCATTGTACTACATCATTATATATAGCAGGGTTTAACCATTCACACATTTTTGATATTCCATGGGAAGAGGGGTGTCCTGGAACCAAGCCTCATATATAAGCAAACTGTGGGTGCATCCACACTATAGAATTAGTGCAACTCAGCCACACTTAAATTGCAATGGATCAATGCTATGGATTCACAGGAGTTGTAATTTTATAAGGTTTGTAGCCTTCTCTGCCAAACAATGCTGGTGCTACAATTTCCCACATTCCATAGCATTGATCCATGGCAGATAAAGTAGTGTCAAACTGCATTAATTCTATAACATCTTGTGAAACGCCTCACTTTGCATTAACACTACTTTGGGTATATTAGCCTCATATTTCAGTATCCTGTATAAACGTTTAAGGCTGGGATTCAAAATTAGCTTAAGTCCAATCACTGTCACGTATCTCTAGATCATATTAGAATAAACCAAAGCAACAACAAGCTGCACATGCCTGAGATTTAGTAAAAACTGATTTCACTTTGCTCAAATGCAGCCCGGTGCTTTGAAATGTTTCAGAGAAGGCAGAATAGTGCACCTTGAAAACTGAAACACTATTACCTTGGTCAGGTTTTCTTGCAATGCTTATGTAGTCCTTGCAGAATGCCGCTTGTTTGCATAATGAGTTGTCGACCTTTGTAACAGTTCCTTACATACCATTGCAAGGGTATCTCTACAACCAAAGAGATCTTACTCTCTCTTAAGAGTAATGTCATTTGTTCATCTCTGAGTTTTATGTATTGGGGTTGGATTGTACAGCACCCTTTTAACTGCCAGGTTAAAAGAATATTGTCTGTGTGTACATGAGGATGAAGAGTTGAATTGAATATTATTTGTATGCTGAGAGAGCCAGCAAAAAAAGATTATGATCCTAGATGCTCATCTCTTAGTATTTATCTATCAAGTCAAATGCTAGTGATTCAAGGCAACAAAAATATACCTAAACAGTGAACATGTACTTTTTCATTATTAATTTACCAGAATGTTCAGTGCATGGAACCTTTCCCCATATTTTAAAGAGAGTCTAATGAAGCAAACACCAAGCCTTTGGAATCACAATATTTTCAGTGGAGGTATTAAGAATGTGGTTAGGTATTTCTTCCATTGAAACATACAAGACTTCACAATATTTAACATTATCTTGGCCTAAATTAGAGATAAGAATTATGCAGCCCTCCAGATGTTATTGGACTGCAGCTCTTAATAATAGCTATGCTGAATGGGGCAACTGGGATTGAACTACAATAGTATCTGGAGGTTAGATTATTTGCATGCTGGCTGATTTGGAATGGTTTTATAATCTTTAATTCTGTTTTAACATTCAGTATAAACAGTAATGTGATTTAACTGGGACTGATTGTAATATAAACCACTACCAAAGTCTTATTAAGGCAAAGGGCTTCATTGCAAATAAGTAAAAGATAATGTAGGTGATATGGACTTGTATATGGGACTTGTATAAGGTTGGTGGTTCAAATTCGGGGAACAGGGTGAGCTCCCACTGTTAGGCCCAATGTCCACCAGCCTAGCAGTTCAAAAACATGCAAGTGAGAATAGACCAATAGGTACTGCTTCTGCGCTCCATTCAGTCATGCCAGCCACGTGACCTTGGAGGTGTCTTCAGCTTAGAAATGGAGATGAGCACCAATCCCCAGAGTTGGACACAACTAGACTTAATGTCAGGGGAAACCTTTACCTTTACATTTATATGGGCATATTGTGATTTTCCACGTTATTCTTTTGAGTGATCCTTCTATACTAGTATAATATGAAGTGGTTTCTGTTTTGTATTTCATTTCTTTTTGTTTCACTTTTGCAAAATTAAGTATTCTAAAAATAATTTGCGATTGGTTTGATAAAGTGCAGTGATACTTTAACACTTGTGCAAAAATCTGAACTCTCTCTATTTTCTCTTCTAGCATATATTTTCTGTGAATTGTGCTGAAGATATACACGCTGCAATGGTGACATAAGCTGCTAAACTGGACTGGGAAATTTTTGAAACTTCTCTCTTCACTCTAAATGTTGCTGCTCTTGGAAACCATTTAAGGAATGACTTACAACATGACTTTTGTTGTGAAACTACATAGACATTTTCAGCGAACAGTTATACTACTGGCCACTTTTTGTATGGTGAGCATCGTTATTTCAGCATACTATTTATACAATGGCTACAAACAGGAAAATGAACTTTCTGAGATCAATTCAGAGGTTGAATGTGGAGATCTTCCCATCTTACAGCCCTACAAGATAACACCTTGGAAAACAGTAAAACCCGCCGATCCTCTAAGGACTGATCCTGTAGTGCTGGTGTTTGTGGAAAGCCAGTATTCTGCCCTTGGTCAAGACATAATAATGATTTTGGAATCTAGTAGATTCCAGTATCATATAGAGATTGCTTCTGGGAAAGGTGACCTTCCTGTACTTATAGATAAAAACAAAGGCAAGTATGCTCTCATAATATATGAAAATATTTTTAAGTATGTGAATATGGATTCCTGGAATCAAGGCCTTCTGCATAAATACTGTGCAGAATATGGTGTAGGGATGATTGGGTTCCATAAGAGCAGTGACAACAGTTTGCAGACTTTTCGATTAAAGGGTTTTCCTTTCTATGTCCATAGCAATGTAGGAATTAAGGATTGCTGCATCAATCCTCATTCTTCTCTGCTTCATATAACTAAATCGTCTAAATTCGATAAAGGCTCTCTGCCTGGAAATGACTGGACTGTTTTCCACATAAATCATTCAGCCTATGAACCTGTTATATTTGCAAAGGTAAAAGCACCCGAAAACCTCCCTCCACCTTTAATTAAAAATGCTCTCCATGCAACTGTCATTCATGACTTGGGTCTTCATGACGGGATTCAGCGTGTCCTTTTTGGCAACAACTTGAACTTTTGGCTGCACAAGCTCATATTTATAGATGCTGTTTCATTCTTGACTGGAAAAAGGCTTACATTGCCTTTGGATAGATACATTCTTGTTGATATAGATGACATCTTTGTTGGAAAGGAGGGAACAAGGATGAAAGCCAATGATGTTCAGGTGAAGTATGACAAGAATACCTCATATGATGTGCAAATTTTATTTGGGAACTCTAGTTATTTACTTTCACCATTATTATATTGCAGGATTAAAATGAAAAAAGTCATTCCATTCTGCTACGTATTTACTTTTGATACAGAGTGCTCAACTCAGGTGGCACAATCCAGAAACTAGTTGAACTGTTTGTTCTTAAGACTGTTTAAAAGGGGTTAAAATTTAACATCTCCCATACCTTGCATGATTTTATACATTTCTGCTATGTTCCATCATTTGATTTTTTTTTTCTAAGTGAAAACATGTAGTAAACTTCCGGACAGAAATTGTACCATTTCCTTTATTGGTTTAGATCAGTGGTTCTCAACCTGTGGGTTCCCAGATGCTCTGGTCTTCAACTCCCAAAAATCCTTACATCTGGTAAAAAGGCCAAAACTCCTGGGGACCCACAGGTTGAGAACCACTGGTTTACATATAAATATGATTGTTAAGAAATTGAAACTAGACTTATACAGAGTATTTCTTACTTTCATTTATATCTGGACTTCTTCACCTGTGCCCATTTACAGTTAAATACAGTTCTAAGTAGAGTTGCACAAAATATTTATACAAAAAACTTATGATAGTGCCAATTCTATTCAAAATTCCTGCTCTAATGACCCTAATTTTGGCTTTCATACCACGGCTACATACCAGCATTTTTTTAGCTATCCCCCATAACCACAATATGCCATTCCCTAGTTCTTCACCTCAGGCAAGCATGGCGATCACAGGCAAGCATGGTCTGGGAGAACAAAATGAAGCGGGACGCAGGCTGATAGAATTTTGCCAGGAAAACTCGCTGTGTATAACGAATACTCTCTTCCAACAACCTAAAAGACGGCTTTACACATGGACCTCACCAGACGGTCAACACCGAAATCAGATTGACTACATCCTTTGCAGCCAAAGGTGGCGGACATCCATCCAGTCGGTGAAAACAAGACCTGGGGCTGACTGTAGCTCAGATCACGAACTTCTTATTGCCAATTTAGAATAAAACTAAAGAGATCAGGGAAAATACACAGACCAGTTAGACATGATCTCACTAACATTCCTAGCGAATATACAGTGGAAGTGAAGAACAGATTTGAAGGACTAGATTTAGTAAACAGAGTCCCAGAAGAACTATGGACAGAAGTCCGAGACATTGTTCAGGAGGCGGCAACAAAGTACGTCCAAAAGAAAAAGAAAACCAAGAAGGCAAAATGGTTGTCTCCTGAGACACTGGAAGTAGCCCAAGAAAGGAGGAAAGCAAAAGGAAACAGGGATAAGGGGAGATATGCCCAGTTAAATGCGCAATTCCAGAGGTTAGCCAGAAGAGATAAGGAACTATTTTTAAATAAGCAATACATGGAAGTGGAAGAAGACAACAGAATAGGAAGGACAAGAGACCTCTTCCAGAAAATTAGAAACATTGGAGGTAAATTTCAGGCAAAAATTGGTATGATAAGAAACAAAGATGGCAGGGACCTAACAGAAGCTGAAGAGATCAAGAGAAGGTGGAGAGACTATACAGAAGATCTGTATAGGAAGGATAATAATATTGAGGATAGTTTTGACGGTGTGGTGAATGAATTAGAACCAGACATCCTGAGGAGTGAGGTTGAATGGGCCTTAAGAAACATTGCTAACAACAAGGCAGCAGGAGATGATGGGATCCCAGCTGAACTGTTTAAAATCTTAAAAGATGATGCTGTCAAGGTGATGCATGCCATTTGCCAGCAAATATGGAAAACACAAGAATGGCCATCAGACTGGAAAAAATCAACTTATATCCCCATACCAAAAAAGGGAAATGCGAAAGACTGCTCAAACTTCCGTACAGTGGCCCTTATTTCTCATGCCAGTAAGGTAATGCTCAAGATCCTGCAAGGAAGACTCCAGCAATACATGGAGCGAGAGTTGCCAGATGTTCAAGCTGGGGTTAGAAAAGGCAGAGGAACGAGAGACCAGATTGCCAATATCCGCTGGATAATGGAGAAAGGCAGGGAGTTTCAGAAAAACATCTACTTCTGCTTCATTGACTATTCTAAAGCCTTTGACTGTGTGGATATAATAAATTGTGGCAAGTTCTTGGAGGGATGGGCACACCAAGCCACCTTGTCTCTCTCCTGAGGAATCTGTACAAGCACCAAGTAGCAACAGTCAGAACTGACCATGGAACAACAGACTGGTTCAAGATTGGGAAAGGCGTACGGCAAGGCTGCATCCTCTCACCCAACCTTTTTAACTTGTATGCAGAACACATCATGCGATGTGCGGGGCTGGATGAATGCAAAGCTGGGGTGAAAATTGCTGGAAGAAACATTAACAACCTCAGATATGCAGATGACACCACCCTGATGGCCGAAAGCGAGGAGGAGCTGAGGAGCCTTCTAATCAAGGTGAAAGAAGAAAGCGCAAAAGCCGGGTTGCAGCTAAACGTCAAAAAAACCAAGATTATGGCAACAAGAATGATTGACAACTGGAAAATAGAAGGAGAAACCGTGGAGGCCGTGACAGACTTTGTATTTCTAGGTGCAAAGATTACTGCAGATGCAGACTGTAGCCAGGAAATCAGAAGACGCTTACTTCTTGGGAGGAGAGCAATGTCCAGTCTCGATAAAATAGTAAGAGTAGAGACATCACACTGGCAACAAAGATCCGCCTAGTCAAAGCCATGGTATTCCCTGTAGTAACCTACGGATGTGAGAGCTGGACCTTAGGGAAGGCTGAGCGAAGGAAGAGGATGCTTTTGAACTGTGGTGCTGGAGGAAAGTGCTGAGAGTGCCTTGGACTGCGAGAAGATCCAACCAGTCCATCCTCCAGGAAATAAAGCCCATGCTCACTGGAGGGAAAGATACTAGAGACAAAGTTGAAGTACTTTGGCCACATCATGAGGAGACAGGAAAGCCTAGAGAAGACAATTATGCTGGGGAAAGTGGAAGGCAAAAGGAAGAGGGGCAGACCAAGGGCAAGATGGATGGATGGCATCCTTGAAGTGACTGGACTGACCTTGAGGGAGCTGGGGGTGGTAACGGCCGACAGGGAGCTCTGGCGTGGGCTGGTCCATGAGGTCACGAAGAGTCGGAGACGACTGAACGAATGAACAACAACAACAAGTTCTTCACCCTCATGTCAGAATACTGCAGGCTACTTTGATCTTCATTAAAATGTAGGTGGCTCAATTTACAAACAATATAGGTATTTTAATAGGAATTGTTTTCTACATTTGAAAAAAAAAGGTCAGTATCTGGAATTGTTTGAGGAGGCCATCTGGTCATAGAATCCTTACTTTATATTGTGATTCCTACTCTACACATTCAGCCAGCTCTAAGTGCCCACAGAATGCAAAGTGAAGCAAGATAGTGCAGCACTGCTACTCTCCAAACTTAGGTTGGGTACATTGATGGTGCTGACACCACAGCTGCAGAAATGGTGGAACTTTCAAAAAATAGTATGCTATCCTACAATTTCACCACACATGTCTTTGCAAGCATCTAAGGATACTACCTCATGGATTTGCCATGGAGGCTGGCAAATCACCCCACTGCCCCTCATCAGTGTGATGAGGTCCTTAGTGTGCGTCATCACTTTTATGAACTGAAGTTTTAAGGCATGGGTTTTTTCTTGTTATATTTGGTTTTGACAAGTCAGTGAATGGAGAAGGTGGTTACATATGGGCACTTCAGCACTGGTTCCCTGAAACTATGGGAACAAGAATTTTTACACTTGTAGTAAAAACAGAGCTGTGACCTTTCATAAATTTTCATCTTCCAAGTTTCAGTACTCAGGAAAATGATCAACCTGGGAGCATATGGTAGGTCCTTAATATCTGCTGAGATTTGGTTCCAAGACACTCCACCTCCTCATCTGAGAAAACCAGAATCCAATTATATGCAAGGGCATTTTAATATAGTATCCCTTACATCAAATGACAAAATCAATGTTTGCTTTTGGAATTTATTTTTAATAATTTCAGCCATGGGTGGTGTATTCTTTGGATGCAGAAACGATGAATATGAAAAAGCAATTCTATTTTTCTCTGACTTGGATTCTGAGATGCAATTTGAAGGAACCTGAGATGTAATTTGAAGGAATCCTTTCTTAAGCTGTTAGTTGTTGATTATACTCACAGGATAACCTTTATCAAAATATTACTTTATGTGCCTCACTTTGCATTGTTTACCATTTTTAAGGGAAGTTGGGTCAAGAGGTAAAAACTTCCTTCTGAGAAATAGATTCCTAACCTATTACTAAGGCATGCTATTGATGTAAGTACAGTTTTGCCACGTTACCTCATTCATTCATTCTCTTTCAAAAGTCCCAAGGAGACAATGTCTGGAGCACATTTGCCACTGCAGTGAAGGTGAAGTGTAGTGCAGCTATCTCATTTTGACAAATGAGGAGAAATTTAAGGACACATTGATTGCTTTTTAACATAATGGGTATGTGTTCTCTTGTAATATGACTGCTGCCAAAACATACTCAGATGGATCACATTCTCCATAAATATCTCCTCTGCACAAAACTTGGATTTGTGGGGCGGGCGGGCGGGGGGGGGGGGGGGGGGGGGGGTTAAATCTGCTAAAGTAACATATGTGTAGATTCTTCTCGACAAGCTATAAAGTATGGGCATAATAATCTTTGAAAAAAATGCAGGAAAAATGCCCCATTGCAAAGTTAGCAAAATTATTAGTATAAAGTATGCCCTCGTTCAGACTTTCATTTCCTGGCTTATAAAGCCATTATTGTTTATTTAAAGCATTTCTTTATTGACCCACCCACCCCAGCAACTCACAAGAGCTCCCAAGCAGATGGACAAATAAAAATAAATTAAAATACAAACATAAAACATTTGAAAACACATTAAAATACTTTTTTTAAACTCCTAAAAGCAGTACAAAAACAATCCTAGAATCCATTTTCAAAATAATTATTATATCCATTTCAAACTTTACATATCATACAGAACAACACTGTTT